AGGAGCTCAGACCAACTGAGCCAAACTTCCAGGAGAAGTTCCGACGCTTTCCAGACGAACAGAGACCGATCACACTGACGCATTCGAGCCTCTCATGAGGCGGGAGCTTTTGTTATTGTAAGATAGTATGCCGCGGCATGATGGGGCTCGACGACGCCTACAAAACTGTACAAAGTTCAACTTAAGCAAGGCACTAGGCATGGAGAACACAAGGATGAGAGAGTGGGACAAAACAAGGATAATGATTAGGTATGATAGAACAAGAATAATGGTGAGAAGCAATACATGAACAAAAGCATGAGCAGCTAAACCAAATAAATTGTAAATTGTAAATAAAATGCAAAAGAATCGCGCTTAGTCGCGATATGGCGATAGCGGTGTGGTGTACCGCGTCTGTAACCCACGCAACACGTCGTCGCGGTGATGAGCCGACCACCAGACGACGCTACAGCTTCTCATCGCTACAGCACTGTCTCCAGAACCCATACATTTCCTACCTACCCCTTTTCTTTTTTTCAGAAACTTGCCAAAAGTGAGGAAGAAAACATTGCCAACAACTATTTCAAACCGATTCGACAAAGTAATGTGCTGAATAAATACCGAGGTGACAAAGCGAGAAATATAGGTGTGTTTACGAAAGCTTTCAGTAGAGTACTGCTATAGTAGTACTACTATAGTAGTACTGCTATTGTACATACATTGCTAAGCGAATTCACCATTTTTGCATACTTTAGTTTTGGCCTTTCCAGGTGTAAAGTCGTACTTTCCTAACAAAGCGTCTACGTTTGACAACCTGCTCAGCGGTGTCGTATATGCTGATGATATTTATGGTCGTTCACAGAGCGCAAGAAGACCAGCCAGGCTGGAGTCTCTTTCACTGAAGAAGTAATCGAAGTGTACGTTGTTCACTCCATGGAAAGGGGTCGCGTTCAGTATTAGGCTTTGCTCACTGTCCCAAATCCTCATTTGTCAATATGACGTGCACAGAGGATTATTCGAAGACATACTGTAGATTTTGGAGAAATATTGAAGCAAATGTCACCGAACCCCCTCTATGGTGTAATTCTGTATGATATTCAAGCTTTTCAGACCTGAAATATTGCTTATGGAAACCCAAAACGTTGATCTTCAACTGCTTCATTGTTCTTATGCAAAATTTGAGCCTGTAGAGAATTAAGGTCGACCATTCGAAGGAATAATCTACTTGGTTGGGGGAGAAGTATGTATTGTATTTATGGTAGCTTGAGAAAAGTACTCACTACTCATTCCGGATTAATCCAGGAATATTGCCAAAAAAGGCATATCTTTGATAATTGCAGTGACAGGTGTTTCTCGATTCTGGCTTGTGATGGAATAATATGAGTGCTGTTTTACTATTTATTACAGGTATGCAAAGAAAAAAAATAAAAGTTGTTCAAAGTGCCTGCCACACTCGACTTTCAGTCAACTCTGATTTTTCAAGAGAAGTTTGATTAGAGGGAATTCGAGCTACAGGACTTATTACAGAGTTGATTTGACAACCACGTCGTAGGTCAAGAAGAGCACACAGCTGTGAAAATGCTGAGCATTTTGGCACACGTCCACGGTGTAAAATACCCCTTCCATTATAAATATGAAGAAGGTGTCGCCCTGCACATGCCGACGTGACAAGGATAGTACTGTTCATCGCAAAACACCCCTGAGAAGAGACAGACCTACAGTAGCGGTCAAAAGTGTTCGCCGAAACGGTTTTCCGTGCTTCTCTTTTTTTGCCAGAAAAAATCAATGGTGACCTCGAAATTTTTTCTTCTTGAATATCCTGATTCTTTGAGGCTTGAGGATATAAAAACACTGGAATCATCCTACTACTATAAAGCGCTTCGTCTGTCGTGTCTGTCTGTCTGTCTTCTGTATGTCTGTCACGAAATTCCCTAGCTCCTCGGGATCCGCCTGGAGGGACCGGGTCAAGTGTGGGATGGGTGGGCAAGGTCTCACGAAATACAAAACACACATCAGCTAAGCGGAGCCCCGCCCACAGAGGGCGTGGCGTGCGTCGAAATGAACTGTACCGAAGACCAAGATTCGATTTCAGTGACAAAACGACCTCGAAACTGGGCCAAAAAGTGGGTAAAGGTGTGCATTGGTAAGTCACATCGAATTAGGGAGACCCACCCCGGTGGGCGGGGCGTTCTCCAAAAAAGCAGTGCTTTATGAAAAATTTCATAACTCGGTTGGGAGAAAGCCTACAGAGCAGAAAACAATTGGTGTAAGGGAGCAATGTCTAAGGTGTTTCCTGCATACATGACGTGGGCGGAGGCCCGCCCAGAATGGGCGGGGCGCGCTCTGAAGTGTACAGCATTTTCTACAAGCCCTCATAATTCGGGTCGGGGAAGTCTTAAAGAGCCGGAAAAAGGTGGATAGAGGTGTATGGAGGAGTGGAGGCCAGCTGTCAATGGTGGGCGGGGCTTGACCAAAGTGGGCGGAGTTTGCGACGAAAACTGATGGGAGGTGGGTGGAGGAGTGGAGGCCAGCTGTCATCGGTGGGCGGGGCTTGACCAAAGTGGGCGGAGTCTTGCGACGAAAATATAAAACTCGGCTCCAACAAGTCCCGGAGGCCGGGAGAAAGGGAGTAGAGGCCGGCAAAGGAAAGGAGGTCAACTGCTATTAGTGGGCGGAGCACACCTAAGTTGGGCGGAGTTTGCCAAAAGTGTCGTAATTTGGTTCCAAGAGGTCCCAGAGACCGGTGAAAAGAGGATAATGGTTGACGAAGAAAAAAGGTTGAAAGCCGTCGATGATGGAGCGGATTGAATTTAGCTGAGGATTCAGATATTCGTAGGTGTATCAAGCCAAATTTGAAAATTTTCGTCGCACCATCAAAATTCGCCGCAGATCTGTGTTGCGCGCGCAATGCGTGCGGCGCCAACTGGTAATATAAATCCTCGAAGGGGGTTGCTCGGAAGAAAAAAAATAGTGCACCGAAAATCGTTTCGGCGAACACTTTTGACCGCTACTGTACGTTCCGCTGGAAGACAAGTCCCGGGCTAAGACTGGTGTATAGGAGCGCTTCATAATGATGGAGCTGCGGAGTGAGCTGAAAGCGGAAAAGAAAACAGGGGAAGTCATCGAAAACGTTAAAGTTATGGCACTTATGGGCCAACAATAACATTGCGAAAGCTGTTCAAATTGGTTCTAATATTCTCTCAAAAGGGTCAGTGAATAAAAGTAGTTAAGTCATATTCACATTGCATACTTCCATTTGAAAGAGAAAACAAAATGATCACCACAAGAAAGCTGGGTTTTGGGCTAAAATCCTCCTCTTATGCGAGAATCGAACCAGCGCTTTCGAGGTAGTCCTGGTGCCGATTACACCCTCGAAGAACCGCCTAGCCTCAAAGCCAAGCCCCGGGCTAACACTGGTGTGCAAGACTCAGTGATGGATGAGCCGCGCACTGAACTGAAAGTGGAAAGGAAAAATTTAGCGAAAACGCTAATGTCAAGGGCTTAAAGTTCCAGTGAGGTCGAATACTTATTTATTTTTATTTATTTGATGCATTCGGGGATGCGCTATTACCATATGGTACGAAAGAGGGACGGTGTGACCAGAGAAGACAAAACAAGCGGAGAGCACACCCTGTGAGAGATTGCGTTGACTCCACAGCAATCGCGGTGGGTGGGAAGCGTTGCGATGGTCGCAGGTCCGTAACAACTAGCACTGTAACCGCGCATTCTGTGCAACCAAGGTGGCACAACCCATAAGTATGGACCCAACACGTTCACTCGCGGCGTGGTTCCTACCACAATTCCTAATAATCTCGGGGCTTGCCTCTGAATGATTGATCATCGAAAGGTATCAAATGTAAAAACGCTGAGGTAAGACATTTCCCTTGTGTATAAAAGACCATTTTAAGCCAGCGCAGAAAAAGTAGAGCTTTGTGTGTGAACTTTCCTTGAAGAAGCCACTCCTCACAGAGACCTGCTCTCTGGGGGCGTGGCCTGAAATCACTTTGGACAGATCATCATGATACAGAAAATGTGGTATCGATTGATTCCGAGTGGCCTATTACCCTCAAAATTATTTCGCGCTCGCTAGGAACTGTTCTCAGAATAGTTTGTTATTTCGCGCTTCGCTAGGAACTGTTTCAAAAATGGTTTGCGAGAGGTCAAATCTGCTTTTTTTCGTCTCTTCCGGCAACAAAAAACACTAGTAAAATATTTATAAAACAAAATACCCGTCTAACGCGAAGAAAATCCGACAGCAATCAAAAACGAATCTTAATGTAGCATAAGAGTGAGATCAATGTGAGTACGGTCGGCATTATATGCCTACCCTGTTGAAAGCATGAGCTGTAAATATCATCGAAAAAATTGCATTGCTTGTAAGGAGGATCACTGATATCTCCAAGGGACTTCGGCGACAATTCGCTCAGTATGAACCCATTTCTGACCAGTTATTAAATATCATTCTAGTGCGACAGTCTTCTCAAAATGACCATTACAATAAATTACGGTGCACATCGTTCCTAACATAGGCGTAGTCATGATGATCTGCGTTGATGGGGCTTCCAAACTCATCTGTGAATCGCCCTGGTGTGTAGCCGTCATGAGCAATGGTAACGCCTCTGAAAAATCAAGATAGCACTCATAGAAATACAGTGAGAAATATC